TAATTAATGCGTGTGTGAGTACGGATGTAAATGTGCAACATGAAGCACATGTAAAGGTCATGGGACAATCCTAGGTGCCAGTCTTCACCTCCCCACACCCTCCTCTTTTGTTGCTCTCCTCTGCCATATGCCAGCCTGGCTGGCCTGTGAGCTCTAAGGCTTCTCTTTCCTATGCTTCCCATCTGGCCTAGGAATTCCTGGATTACAGAAGCATAGCACCATGCCCAACTTGTGTGTGTGTGTGTGTGTGTGTGTGTGTGTGTGTGTGTGTGTGTGTGTATTGTGTGTGTGTATGTATGTGCGTGTATACACACACCACACACACACACACACACACACACACACACACACACACACGATGCAAGCATTACATAGGTAACTCCAACTTTTAAAATGTCATTTCAGAGCTTATTGCCAGCCATTCCTGTAAGACCAAACAAAATAGGTCTGTTGGCCAAGTTTAGCCTTGAAGTACCTCTTGTTTTGCACCTCTGATTTAGACCTATCCTCCTAGCCCTGAGTTGAGTTGAACATATAGGCAATTCTTCCTCATGTCCCTCCAAAACATGCCCCTTAATGGCTACTGATCCCATGCTTCCCGACACTGCCGAGATTTCCCAGAGTTCTTCACACACCTTCATGTGTGGACACGATAAATAACTCTACTAACAACAAAAAGTTAACAAGGCCTTGAGCTAATTCAGCAGGGTCACCATCTGGGAGTCATCAGAAACAGAACTGTCAGCGCTGTAAACATTTGAGGCTTCATAGAAGACACTGACTCTTGCTAAACTAATCAGTGCTGCCAGTCAAGATTTGCAGTGGAGATTCGAGAATGAGACATCCATTTAACAACAATAACAAAAACAGTGAGGACGAAAACCGTACAGTCATAATAACAAGGGCCTAAAAGCAAACTGTGACTTCCCTAATAAGGCAGAGACCCAAGTTGGCTCCCTGGCGGTCAAGCGCCAATACGATTAATCAGTCTGTTTCCAGTTTTCTCGAGACAGCAATATTAACAGTTTGTTTTACTCTGTTTATACGGTGCTGACAGGTCTTCGGCATGTTGGGCCTACTTTCTGGTGATTAATGACCACTCTCGTTCTGAAGTAAAAGCAGGCAGGAAGAGAATGCCTTTTATAACTAGTTAGGAGCTGCATTCTCTGTGATTTTTGTTGGTGTTTCCCTGTTACCTATCAGCACCTGCCTCTATGAGCCTCTCTATGTATGTGTGAGAATAGTCATTCCTCCCTTCCCCTGCCCTGAGACACTCTGTCCTCTGCTCAAACAGGGGCCCTAAAATGTACACTGTGAATGAACCTGGTGCTGTTGGCTCATTTTGTTCTTCAAAATCTCATTTCTATAGAAATGAAAGAGCAGGTGTGGAGTGGCTCTGCAAATGGGAAATTTAGCTTATGAAGTAGGTAATAATCCCCTTTCATGTTTACAGCTATGTTTACAGACAAAGAAGACAGCAGAGGGGACATTATAAACTGGCTGCTGTAGGAAGCACTGTCTGAGAAATTACTGCATTAAACAGTCATATTTCAACGGAGGTCAAAAGATTTGATATAAAAAGACCTACCCTGTCCACATACTTCCCCTTATGAAAAGAAAGTTGTAAGCGTACTATTTATCACTGATATACTGATCTTTTCTTCCTTTCCATTTTTATTTTCTTTGTGTGCATGTGTGTTCTGCACACACATGTTCATGCTACGGGATGCATGTGCACACCCAAGGACAAGTTTGTAGGTGTTGGATCTTTCCTTTACCACGTGGGTTGTGGGGACTGAACTCAGGTTACCAGACTTGGCAGCAAGCACCTTTACCCACTTGGCCACCCTCCGTTTTCTGTTGCTGGTTTGTTTAGACAGGGTCTTGCATTATAGCCCTGGCTGAACTCAATCTCTCTATTGTGGCACACAATGGCTTTGACTCTGCATGCCTCCTGCCTTAGCCTCATAAATGTAGGGAATACAGTGCGTGCCACCACATCCAGTCACCAAATGTTATTCTACTGTACTTTATTTTATTGTGACAGGATCTCAAGTAGCCCAGACCGGCCTTGAATATACTATATGGCCAAAGATAACCTTGAACTACTGATCCTCTTACCCCTACATACCTAAGTCCTGGGATTCAGGTATGCACCATCCTCAACTTCATCTTAATAGTACCTAAGTGTAGGAAAACTAAAAAAATGAAAATTGAAAAAAAGAATGGGCTTCCTGTAAGGTTCTCTAGGAAACAGTATCTCACTGCTTGTACCCAGGGTGAGTCTGTCACACTCAGATGCCCGGTAGCTTTCTAGCCTACTTCTCTGTGTGCTTCTCTCCTCATACAGCGACAGAACTACATTAGTTCTGGCAGAGAGGACACCAGGAATGGCTTTTAAATGGAATGTTGAAGTCAGATGACAGAACATTTTGATATGAAAGCACTATTAATAACAATAATACTATATACTGAGTGCCTACTATATACCAGCACTGTTGTAAACACTTCAGTTATGCAAAACATGCTTCATTCTCATAACTATGTCTATATTGAGTGGAACAACAGTCTGTTTGAAGTACAGCATATGAGAGAAAGTAGAACAATATACTGGCTACCTTTGGGAAGACTTTGAAGCCCATATGTGAATTTAATAATGCATCCAATGTAAAGGTTTGACTGGAGAGGGGAAAGTGATATTAGCTAGTTATAAAGGTATTGTAACCATTCTGGGAGAGGAAAGATTTAATAGTTATCTCAGAAACTTAAGTAGACATTTTTTTTTTAATGTAGCAAAACTGGAGTTTATCAAGAAAAGGTTTCAAAATAGATTTAAGCAGGAAGAGAAGGAAAAAGACTTATTTAAGTAAACTGTATTATATGTCCTAGAGTAGCCTGACCCTCCCAAGAGAGATGCCTGATTAAATATTTTTTCTGATTTGATCAGTTATTTCTCTTAAGCTCTGTAGGTCTGGATGGATGGGTTGGTTAGACATCATGATAAGAGACCAATAGAGAAGAAAGGAGAAGCTAACTGGAAGACATCTGCCTCACGCTTAGTAGGTGATTGGTCTTGCTCACTGTTCAGTGGCCTCAAGTGACATTTAATACCCATGGGTGCTTCTCTTCCTCCCATGCCTGTCCTTTAGCCACTCAAAACCACACAGGTTGCTTTATGCAATGGCCATGAGCAAGCCCAGAAGAAAGAAATGAATGGAAAGGAAAGGAAGACTACCGTCTTCATTCTCATGGGTTTGGGAACAGCCCCTCAAGGCCTTTGTCCTAAACCCCCACTTTTCTCTTGGTGGTCTGGCTGTAAGGCATAGCACTCTGTGGCAAACCACTGGACTGCTGGAGTGGAGACTGTTAGTCATCCATAAGAGAAGAGGCCTTCTATCCAGTTTGCAAATGCATGCCCTATTTGGAATACTTTAACCAAAGCTAAACATTATGCCAGAAAGGTCTCTAGTAGGACTCCCATGTGCATATGTTCATATCATCCACAAATATAGGCACAAGAAACATAAGCTCCGAGCAAAGCCAAAAAGTACTAAAATAGAAAATAAGAATATTTTGAGAGCTAAAAAATAAAAAATTTGATTCTAATTCAGTTGCTAAATGAATTGAAGACACTGAATTCTATTGTCTTCCAAAGAAAGTCCTGAGATTTTTTTTTTTAGGTATATTTATTTTTATTTGGTGACTGTGGGTGTTTTGTCTGCATGAATGTATGTACAGCCCACCAGAAGAGGGTGTAGGATCCCCCAGATCTGAGGTCACTGGCAGTAGTCAGCTGCCATGTTGGCTGGCTGCTGGGAATCAAACACTCTGGAATACAAGCAATGATTTTGACTGAGCCATCTCTCCAGCCCTGGAAAAGAGCTCTGAGCTTTTAAAATTAAGATCTGCCTAGATTATATGAAAATGTCTCTAGTGCTCTCTGGAAAAGAACTATGTAACTGAATGAGAAGTGTCTCGCTCCACAGCAGCTGCCTTTGCATTATTACTCCATAAGAGCCCATCTGGAGAGCATGTCCCTTTCACTAGCTACATTTAGTTCTTTCTGAAACGTCTTCTTCAGATGCCTGGGGTCATGGCAGTTTCTTTGGATCTAATTGAATCTCAAATTGCAAACTCATTTTGATTCTATCCAAAGGCTCTTATGCATGTAGGTTGACTTCCAAAAACATTTACTATGACTAATGCATGCGGCTTGTCATTTCTATTACAATAAAAAAAAATCAAAAGGTATTTTAGGGACTTATGCATGCCATCGACAATTATTTCAAGTATAAACTGGTTTGTATATGCCAAGGGTGAGAATTTAAATGCTCGTAAAATACAACTGTTAAAAAAAGGAATTTTATGAGCCCAAGCACATTTTAACTTCATTTTAAGGATGTGAGTTTAGCTTGGCCTTGTGTGTTCTATGAACCATGAACTGACTTAGTTACAGAAAGAAGAGTAACCTGTACCAAGTGCAAGATGAAGGGCGGAAGCCTAGGATGTGCATTTTACTGCTGAGCTTTCCTGCCTGCAGTAGCTACAAAGTTTGTATATTTGGTTTTGTATAGAAAAAAAAGATTTGAATAATCATGTTTCCTACTTTTTTTTTTTTACGTGTTTCCTATAAAAATGCCATTAGTTGTGAAATATTTCAAACCTGCTCATGCTAACAGATGGTAGGCAATAAGTAGAGCCTAGGAAAGCTCTGAGATCTGCTTCTATGACCCATGGAAAGCCCCTGGAGTAAGACCTGACCGTAGCAACCTGGTAGGAGCACTCATTCATGGGCTCAAAGCCTTGAGTTAAGCTGAGAAGTAATGTTCACTGTGCTTGGCTCCATAGACTAGGTGGTCAAAGGAGAGAGTCAAAAGAGCCAGGGGCAGGAGGTGGTGGAGGGAGATGCACAGCCCTGGGAAATGTGTTCAGGGGTGTCTGACCACCATCCTGTGCAGGCAGGAAAAACAAACTGGAGTGGAATGGCATCCACGACTTACCTGCGGCGCAGATCCTCCGCCACTGCCGCCCGGCAGCTGAACAAATAGGCTCGGAGAGATTTCAGCTGCTGTCGCAGTCGTACAACAGTGGCCAGTGGCTCTGCGTGGAGGTACAGCATGGGGTTCTCCTGCTGGATGTCGATCAGGGGCTCTTCGTACACATACTCCAGAAACTCCTTGGCCTGCTTGGACACCTGCAAAACAAGCTTTGGCCATCAGTGCTGGTGAATCACCCCCAGCTTTCCACACCTGTCTTCTCTGCCTGGGAGCCACACCTTGGTGACAAAGTAGTAGTATTTCTATACACTGCTTATGGAAGGCCCACCCACAAAGGAAAAGTTTCTCTTTTCCCCTTTCAGAAGCTCAAATGGTAAATGTGGAAGGAATTCATTAACTCCACACCTCAATTGTGCTAGTAATTTATGAGCCTATACCTGTGATGGCACAAAACTACACAAATCCATCACATCACATGTCATGGTTCTGCTTTGTTTGGTTTTATATATCCTACTGTAGTGACCTAAGATGGGACCACAGGAGGAAACCACGGGGAAAGGTACTTAAATGCTTCCTGTCTATTTGTTCAATTTCCTGTGAATCTGTAATTACCTCAAAGCAATGTGGGAAAAGAACTCATAGTCTTCAAAAACTACATAAATACAAATGCATGCACATACACTCCACAATATAAAAAAGTATTTTTTAAAACCAAAAAACTACACAAATTGTGAAATATTAATAGGACTATTAAAGCAAATAAAGAAAAGGAAAAAAGGAAAAAGGGAGGGAGAAAAATTATATGGAAAGTAAACTGACTAAATAGAAATGGCTCAAAAAGTAGCAGCCCTTAGTTGAATGCCTGTGGATGTGGGCTGACTGTCGTCAATATATCGAGGCAACTCCTTAATCTTTGAGTTGTTTTTAAATGGCATTGTTCTAAGTAGAGGTAAATAGTACATTGGAAAAACAATGGACCAGAGAATGAGAAAGGAACTTCCAGAGTGCAACACACCATCACACATGGGTAACTGGACTCTCTCTATGCCCATTTGCTGATACTCAGTGTAAACTGCCTACTGACATACAGAGTTGGCTGAGCCTCTATTTATGGAAGGCAAACCTAGAAGTTCCCACTAACCCTCTCCAGAAGCAAGGCTGGGATTGAGCACTAAAATAAACAACTTTGTTCATTAAAAAGAAAACTGAAAATCCACTGTGCCTTACATTCCACAGCAGAAGCTCGCTAATGAAGAAAAGGAATTCAAGCCCTACCCTCAAGGGGCTACTAGGACAAAAGATAAAGACTCACAACAAAACATATGCAACCTGCAGCCACTAGAGCCACAGAGGTTCACAGAGGTTCAGAGGTTTAAGGTAGCTTAAAGGAGAGGAATTGCCTTTCCTGGGGAACAGATTGCTAGGTAGGCCTAGTGAAGCAAGTCACGCTGGAGCTAGCTCTGGAATTATAGGTGGAAACTCATTTAATGGACAGAGTGGACAGGGAAGAATGAGGAGGGGACAACAGGCTGACAAAATTACCAGGTCCCCCGGTGTATAATATGGAATTGTGATTACTAGATGTGAGGCTATTATGCACTAATTAAAAGTATGCTTCTTAAACACAAATACAAGGTTCATCATCATCATCTTCTTAAAGTGGAAAGTTCACATTGAAGTTTACATTTCTGAAAGGGCTATAAAAGTGCACCATTTCTTAAAGTAAGTGTGTGTGTGTGTGTGTTTATAAGTCATTATTTCTGAGATACCTTTTGTGCAGTCTGATCCTATGATATCCTGCACAGAGTGATAAGTTAAAGAAACTTAATAGACTGAAAATCCAGGTTAGATAACAGCCCCCAGAATTACCCAGGACCTTTAACTGCTGTAGCAGGTCAGAAACAACAAGGTACCAGAGTGCAGTAGCCTCTAGTCTCTCATCTGAGAGGCAAAGATATGACAGACAGCATAGTGGGCCAGGCCTTCAGAGAAGAACAAAGCAGTCATGGCCCTGTCAACCGGCACCTCCCAGCTCCAGCTCCAGCTCCAGCTCCACGTAGAAAGACAAAATTGAGTTGTTTCTGAATTACATGTTGTATTTACTGTGTTTAAATATCTGCTGCACTTAAATATCTTCCATGAGGAAAAAAGCCTGATGGTGTTCAGGGAAGTGAAGTACAATCCACTTGAAACTGTTGCTAAAAAATGATGTATTGTACAATTCAATTAGTCTTCCTGGGTGTACAGAACAGTGTTTATACTGAGTCAGGGCCCCACTGAATTAGGTTAACAATGCTACCTTTTAGTAGGTGAACAGAAGGACAAAGGGCACTGGCCAGTCTCCCAGGCCTTAAAAGGCTTCTCTCTTCAGGTGCTACTCAAGCCCAAAAGCAAAAGGGGAAAGGAATCTTTTACAGAGACAGTAAGAGCAGGGAGACTAACAGGACAGCAGCTACTGATAGCAGGGTTCATAAACTGAAATGACAAAAAAGAAAAACAGAGCTGGCTTCAGGAACGTCCAAGGCTCTGCCTTCCCCCCATGAAGCTCATCACTGACACGGCTGCCTGGGTGTGTGAACACATCCCCACTGCTGCAGCCATTTTTGGCAACAAGGCTGAGCTCATGCTCTAGGTCTTCAGAGCCCAGATTCTGTTGATTCTACTCCATTCACAAAGACTGGTGAGGTAGATTTTACAAAAGTTTGCATTTGGTATGGAATAAATGCTAGTTTTGCAAAACAGAGCTTTATCCCTTTCTCAAAGTTTTCCTCCTACTATTGGCAGGATGGATTAACACTCAAGCTCCACTATCATTGCAAAGCATTTTCCAAGAAGAAAAACTTTTAAATGAATACTAGCCTAAAGAAGAAACTATACTCTTATAAACCTAAGGGAAGAAACCAACGGTATTCTTAGGTGAAAGTTTCTTTCCTGTTATTCTAAACATGATGTGAATCACACGTTAACATAAGGGGTGTCCCAGTAAATAACTGAGCTACTTAGTGTCCTTGAGGCAAACCAAATTATGAAAACAAAAATGCCAAAGTGCTATTCTTATTTTTATTTACTATTATTGTGTGAATGTATGTATGTGGACGATTGGCAGGGTGGGGCAACATTTTCATGCCATGTTTTGCCTGTGAAGGTCAGAGGACAACTTTCAGGACTGGATTCTCTCCTTTCAGTGTTGGTTCTGGGGACGGTAACATGTACTAGCCTCGACTGGCCTAAAGCATGGGGGTTATAGATATGCACCACTATGCCTGGCTTCATTGCTCTTGTAGTGAACAAATAGAATGATTTATGCTATAGGAACTCAATGTCATAACTGTGCTTGTGTTTCATTGTGTGAGCTGATTCTGTTTTCACAGCTCTGCAGTCTGAATGATTTATGAGGGAAGAAGTTCAAGTAGAAACTTGTCCCCTCCTCCTCACATTAAGTAGAGTTAGAGAAGACAGCACAATCACACTGAAATTAGTTACAAACTAGTGATGAGCAAATCTGTGATCACACACATGCATTTACAAATGAGCGCATGTGATCTGCACACCAAGGATAATCACTGCAGATCTGAACACAGCACTTGTTTGGTCACAATGGTAACTACCTATTAATTGCAGAATTATTGGATGTGTTCGAGTTTGCACAATCCTGGGAGCGGTTTCTGGAATCGTGCATGTTCCGGCACGTTCATACACAGAACAGCCCCGGGTGAAGAAGAGTGGGCAAAGGGAATAAATGGTCAACCACAGATGCAATCTGAAAACGATGCAGTGATGGCAAGGGCCCTGTTCCTGTTTAAGGAGGAAAAGACTGAAGAAAACACAGGAGAACATGATCTCAGCATAATAAGGAAAGGCAAAGGTAATATAGTTACTTTCTCAACCAGTATTCTCAGGATTACTAGTCTCAAAAAAAGATTTTTTTCAAGTGTTAGGAAAATAAATGTACTGAATAACATTTTCTTGTCTTGATTAATAATGAAACATGCTCTCCTATTCAAACTCTGAGACACCTGGTAGTAAAGAAAACCTGCTTGGGCTGGGTTAGCATGTAGCTCAGTGGTGATGACAGGGAGGAGGAGGAGGAAGGGCAGGAGGCAGAGGGGGAGAAGGAAGATGAAGGGGAGGAAGAAAAGGAGGAAGGAGATCACCTGCTTAACCTATCTACTCCTCAAATCCATTTGCATCTCGACAGGGCAGTTTTGTGAGGCTCCAGTCCTGTAGAGGGCAGAAGGGTGAGAAAAAGGCTGATCTGTGCCCCACTCCTTCTCCAACTTCACTTCCTCTCCTACCAAGCTCTAAACCCACTGGCTCTTTCTGATCCTCACCAGGATGGCCTGGTGGTAGCAAGTGCTGAACTTGTAAGTGTTCCACAGAATGTACTTTGAAAAGCAGTGGATTAATCCATTTTATGTATTTAACCAAGTCCAGAGACTCCAAATGACTTATTTATGACCATGTCATGGCAGAGTGGAGTCAGGACTCAGAACTCTGGACAGCTTGCTCTGTGCGGGCTCAGTAGCCTGAAGTCACAGTTCCTTCGGTTCTTAAGTACTCTGTCCTAACTTATTTGCTCACTGTTCTTTAAAAGAGGTGCTCCCTGTCCCTCCTCCATCCATCTTTCCTGTCAGAAGACAGGTAGGCTGAAAACAGAGACAGACTAGAATGCAATTAGGCAGCACTGGCATTTAGGCTTACATTTGAGCTTGACTCTAAAACAATGACGGATATACAGAAGTATTTCATTTCCAAAGTCATTTTTGTATTTATGTTATTTAATGTCTTGCCCCCTCCACTGAAATAAAAGCATTCATGAGGGCAGGAAATACATTCCCTTTGAGCTACATACTCTTACTTCAGACACAATTTAAACAGTTTGGTTTTATTTCTAAGTTCATAACACATTTTGAGTCAATAATGAATAAAGGGGGAAAGGCAGCTAGAGGCAACAGAGCTTGTCTTGAATGCCTCTCAAGATGGAGAGATAGGCTTGTGTAACATGGAAAACCCCTAGCTAAATGGAATGTGAATATTCAGGCTAGGACACACAAAACATTTTTTTAAAGCACAGCTATGGGGAAATGGTAAGAAAGTTGAGTGTTTTGTTGGTGTCTGATCAGTTTGAATAGGGGGAAGGGAGGTTCCTTCAAAGAGAATTCCATGAGAAAATGGCTACAGAATTTAAGGATAGGTTTTTTTGTTTTTGTTTTGTTTTGTTTTGTTTTGTTTTGTTGGATAAGGTTTAACTCCCTCTCAATGACAGAGCCCAGTTGAGTCTGTAGCACAGGCACCAGAAATGGATGCAATCTTGCTTTTGGAAGTAATTAGGATTATTAATACTCCAGAGTGCAGCCAGGAAATGCTTAAGATGACAATTTCATTCTGTTCTGCAAACCCATTTTTTTTCAATGGGTAGTCAAGCAGTCACGTACTTGCTATTAAGGGCAGTAGGCAGATCTAACAGAATGATGTCTGGATTTAGAAACTGATAGGTCTAAATTGATCCTCACAATTAGGAGCATTAAGTTAATTCCTGGTATCTGAGCAAAGACAGACAGATGCTGGACTAAATGGAATATAGTTCCTCAGTGCTGGGGACAGATGATCCAGATAAAATCAGCTGGCTGTGTTCCTGCCGGAAAATTGTCCCTGGTCCACTGAGAATGTGGGAGACAGAGGTCTGACTCCTCATGTGCGTGAATGAAGGGAGTGTACCTAGGAAACATCTTTAACGAGCTATCTATTCCCTCAACTCAGGTCTAGTTACTTGAAGGACCATCACAACATGGCCAATCTTACAGGAAGATTGTAGGCCTCAGTAACAGCTAGTATGGTGGTTTCTGTATCTTCAAAGCTCTCTGTGAACAGTCAGGCCTGCCTTGGACACTAACCGGCAGTGCCTCCTTTTTGCTTTTTCTTCATGACTGATGTGCATCCCATCCTGCTGGCAAGTGTCACCAGTCCCAGTTCTCAGCAGACCATGGGGCTGGGACTGCCTCACTCACCCACTCGCTTGGTGTTAGATGTCAAAGTTCTGCTCCAATCACATTAATAAAGTGAATCCAACCAGCCTGCCTCCCTAGATATGCTTTTATCTCACACACACATGAATATATTTATAGTCTGTATTGGGAGTGTCAAGTACAAGATGCAAAGGAGACCATGATAACTGTCTAGGAAAGGAAGGAAGGACGGAATTAGGGGAGGAAATAAGGCTCAGATCAGATTTTAAGATTTGTTGGGCCTAAGTGAGAACAAGAGTAAGCCAGGAGGTGTGAAGCAGACTGGCAGGATAGGGATTAGAAGGGTAGATGTGATTTTAATGGCAAGACTAGTGGGGATGAAGGAGCCAGAGAGGTGAGCAGGGCCTAGCGATCACAAAGGGAACTATATCTATTCTGCAGTAACTGAGCACTTACAATGCTCTGACACTGTGCTAAGTGCTCGTATGACTGATTTAAGAAAATAGGAGCCTTATGGCACAGGTACTATTATTACCTCTATTGTAAGATGAAAAAAACTAAGATAAGGACTGAGGAAGACATTCATCTGAGGTAACACCAGGACCAAGAGAAGTGAGCTGGAAGGCAAGAAGCACTATTAGAAAAAAGGCTACTGACTCCTGCTGTGTGACTGCTGCTGAAGCCATGAGTGTAGTGAGGCTGAGAGCATGACCTCATATTACAATGAAGTCTTGCTTCTTGTGCGGCCAGGACACATGTAATAGAAGGAATAATCTAGGACATTGCTTATGGCTGGCAGTGGAGACCGTGGGAACACTCATATGACTATGAATATTTGCATCTGTAACTGCAGGTAGCATGCACTTGGTGAGTGTATTGAGTTTGAGGTGCCCATGGGATAGGCTTCACTTTCAGCCACTCAGAAGTCACTCCTGCCTACCAACTGTGTGCCATGGCCTGTGCTAAACCACACCTCCTGAGCTCGCCTTCACAGAGAAAACACAACCAGCAATTAATTATATAAATCAATAAGTACTTGTCACACCATTTCTTATACTTTTCATTGTAAGTCTAACCTTTAAAGGCAAAGCCATTTCTCTAGCCCTTATCACACCATTTCTGATGCTTTTCTTTTTAAACTTAAAAAAAAATTATGTTTTGTGTGTGTAAGTAAGAATGTACATATGTGAGTGTGGGTGCCACATCCCCTGGAGCTAGAGTTATAAGCAGTTGAAAGTTGTATGACTTGGGTGCTGGGAACTGAACTCAGGTCCTCTGCAAGAGTAGTAGATGCTCTTAACCACTGAGCCATCTATCTAGCCCTTAATTCAGAGGACAGAATCGCGGAGAGAGTGCAAACCACCAACCCTTTTGTATTTTTCTTTTAATAATCTACTCCATACAACTCCCAACTATAAGTGCCTGAGTTACCAAAAGCTTGATGATTATGATACTTATGGTACTTATTTGGCATGCACTGTGTGATGGGTACCATTCTACTTGCTTTACATATTTTAGCCATTCAACCAGTGATAACTCCTTAGAGGTAATATTATCCTCACCTTATAAACAAGAAAACTAAAACACTCAAGAGTCCAAATAACTCATCCAGGTCACACATCAGCAAGTAACAAAGCTGAGACTTGAACCCAGGCAGGCTGGGCTTATCTTACATATTAGAAAACTGAGATTTGGGGAAGCTCAAGGAATCTGTCTCCCACTAAGCAAACATACGAGAAGGGGCTGAAGTATGCTTTGGACAGATGTCTGATTAACACCAACCTACCAGAATTGGTGAGACCACAATAGAGAAAGGAAGAGCTAAGGTTGACAACAGGGGCAAAGGAAACACCTTCTGTAAGAGGAGCGTGGTTCCCTATGGAAGGACAGTGAGGACTATGTGGCTACAGAGAAGCCCTCAGGTGAGTTGATGAGATTACTTCCCTACTAGCAGGAGTTTCCAGAGTAACCCAGATGGAATCCTAACTGCTGTAAAATCATAGATATTGAAACCAAAAAATCTGATCTAAATTACTAGTGCAAATAAAAAGGGCTCCCATGAGCTTCCAATACATGTCAGGCTCCTTTTCTCTCATCCCAGGGTTCAGCCCCTGGCCAACTCCCCTGCTGTCTGCAGGATGCCATTCTCCCTCTCTCTCAACTTCATTATTCCAGCCTTTCTCCTTTCTCCTGGGGAGTTCACATCAGCATAAAAAAACATGCTGTTATCTATTTTCTATTAAAACAGAAGTCAAACCTAACTTGACCCCACTTCTCATTGAGTTACTCCCCTACCTGTCTCTTCCCTTTTGAGTAAAACCTCTCCTATTCTTGTCATTTCTTTCTTTCTTCCTATTCTATGTGGAGCCCTCTCCAGTCAGCCCTCTGTGCCTGCCTCTCCATTCAGACTGCTCTCATTAGGGTCACTAATTACCTCCACATGACTGGAGCCAATGGTCAGTTCTCAGGACTCATCTTATTTGACCTATCAGCATCTGTCACAGTTCATCTGGTGGCACTTTCTTCACATGGCTTGTCAGGCAGCCTGGGCTCCTTCTACCTCACTGCTCACTCATTCCTGGTCCCCAGATGCTCTTTCCTGTCCCTCTTCTCCCTACACTCTTATGTTGGGATGACCCAACATGTCTTGAACCTTCCTCTTCCCCTGTTGACTTGCACTTTAACAGTTACATATGTGCTATTCATACTCCCTGGGTGTCTTCCTTGTCTGCAAGTCATTATTGTGCAAAGCTCTTAGCATATCCCAGAATTTCTCATTAGCTCCCATTCCTTAATAAACAGGGATTCTCATAAAGGTATGAGGATGATGAACTACACAGTTCCTTCTGTAGACTGCAACCCAGAATTCCTCATGGTTTCCCCTAGGATTCCAGTTCCAGGAGCAAAACATGGTTGAAAACTGGCCTTCACCTAAATCAGAGTGCTATTTCATCACAAGAAACACTTTGGGTCACATATACCTTCTCTAGAGATCACAGGCATGTTCATGAAGAGTCTCCATTTCCCCACTTTTTTCTAATAAAAATTGTAAGAGAGGCTTCTCATTGTATAGCATACTATTAGCACCTACAGTTAATATATATGGGTAAAAACTATAGATAGACAGATAGATCAAAAGATATAAATAAATTTTAAAATTAGGAAATTAATAAGAATCACAATCAAAACGCTTTTAAATAGTGAGACATGTGTGAGAAGTATTAGATAAAATCTGGTCGTATGATTGGGCATGATGGGATGTGTCTGTCAGTGCAACTCTTGGCAGCTGGAGACAGGGGTTGTTAGTTTAGGGTCAGGCTGAATTGCAAAGTGAGACCCTGGGTTTTTGTTGTTGTTGCTATTGTTTGTTTGTTTGTTTTTTAACGAGACTACCCAATCTAGTTCACCTCAGTAGGTTTATAGTTACCTTTATCATCCACCTCACATATATGAACACCTGAATTGCCACCATCAAGTGTACCCAAGGTTGGCACCTACCTTGTATTTTGAAGTGTCCCAGTTGTGAACTACTCGTGCTGGGATGAGAAAGCTGTCGTCCACGTGGCAGCTGCTGCAGTAGTACCACCCACTGTAATTGCACACCTTGGCCTTGCCATTAGAAAGACCAATAGATCGTTGGCATCCTGTTCAAGGCAAAAGATAGACTATGATTGCTACTGGACTTTGCACACTGCGGAACAAGGCTTCACAGAACAGCTCTTAGGTTAAATGAAGTCTGTAACCAAAGAGAAGCTACAGAGAACATATGGACCTATGTGTGCCCTCCTTCCCAGCCTAAGAGTCCAGGACCCCCCCCCCCTCCTTCTGAGGGCAGACACTGTCCTCACTAGACCCTTGTTTCTGGTACTTCTTCTGCACATAGCTACAGAGATCAGTTTCTCCACGCTGTCTTTCTTTCCCTGCTTTCCTTTTCAGAATAATTTATACTACATACTTGGCTAGAGCTTCTAATACTGGTTTGTTTGACTTACACAACATCTCTGAGAAAAGAGACTAGTGGAAAAATGAAGGCAGGCATGGTGGTCCACCCCTGTATCTGCAGAACTTGAGGCAAGGATCTTGGGTTCAAGGACAGTCTAGGTTACACAGTAAATCCCAGAGTTCCAAGCAGCCTGGGCAACTTAGTGAGCCCCTGTCTCAGATAAACAAAACCAAGAGCTATCAATCTAGCTCAGTTACTGGAGTACTTGCCTAGCAAAAGAAGCTCTGAGTTCAACCCCCAGCACTGCATAAAACTGTGATATGGTGGCACTTGCATCTGGAGGTGTTTCAAAGACAAAGGAAAGAGAGACTTCAACAAATCTTGCATGAGATCAAGACCACTAGCTGCTGGTCAGTGATTGTTCATGCCCTCTCCCTATCCCAGGAGTCATGATTCTGTGAACACTGTCCAGGGACTGTCAGGGAACATAGCAATAATCATGGCCCTGCCCCAAAGAGACCATGTTCCAGTAGGAGAAACTACGTTCTATCGATACATATGGAAGCTCAAAAAAAAATGCTTATTTAATACAAACTGCGTACCTACAAAAGACACATATAAACTCTGTGAAAATACCACAAAATCTTGGCTGGGTAGTGGTGAAGTTTACGAATGCTTATGAGATTTTAAGTTTCACAAAGTAGAATTTAGCAGAGGTGGGCTACTGTTAAAACACAAAAAGATAAATATATGATAACTGGTCTGTTAGAAATTATGATGTTAAACGAGGAGTTGGTGGCATACGCCTTTAATCCCAGCACTTGGGGGCAGAGACAGGGGAATCTCTGTGAGTTCAAGACCAACCTGGTCTACAAGAGCTAGTTCCAGGACAGCCTCCAAAGCCACAGAGAAACCCTGTCTTGGAATACCCCCTGCCCCGCCCCACCAAAAGAAAGAAAATACCACAAAATCTAACGAAATTTCTGTCACAAATAAAATGGCATTATTAACCATGCCATTTCACAGTACATCCTCTGCAGGGAGAATTAGATCCTCTTGTATTTAAAAGCAGAGGGGACTGAAAGATATCAAATGCATATGCTAGTGGTACACTCTAATAACTAGATCTTCCCATGGTTCTTAAAATTATTATTCTTTCTTAACTATTGAGCAGCAACAAAATCATTGGGAACCTATTTTTGAGGCTAGCTGAGGAATGAGAAACAATGTGCAGAAGATAAGGACCACATGAGCCTCTGTTTGACAGAAGAGATGCTGTCACAATTCTGGGTGGTAAATGCTGGAGTGCTGTTTGCTGCGCTCATAGACTGCATGCCTCCTTGAGCTGTGTCACTCCAGCCAAGCAGACAGCAAACTTCTCAGATTTTATCCTCGGCATTTAACACAGAGTTTAACACATAGCAGACACCAACAAATGTTAAACTAGGTACCTTAAATATCAGTGGGCATCTCCTGAATACTAATAGGTACTAATGGGCTTAGCAGTTTGTAATTTAAATGACTTTACCCCAATGTTCTATAACAAATATGGGCATCATTTTAAAAGTACAAATACGAATAGGAAGCATATAACCTAAAAATGTTTATTTCACTAGATGGTGGTGGCACATGCCTTTAATCCCAGCACTTGGGAGGCAGGGGCAGGTGGATCTCTCTGAGTTTGAGGCCAGCCTGGTTTACAATGCAACTTCCAGAACAGTCAAGATTATACAGAGAAACCCTGTTTAAAAAAAAATAAAAGTTTATTATTTCAACTGGGCACACAGATCTTAAGTGGGTGTTCAACTACACATACCATGGAGACAAACTAACATGCTCACAAACATTGCACAGGTTTCTGGGCTTATAAGAGGAGAGGAGGAGAGAGGGGAGAACACAGCTAAGGCTCTTAGGAGTTTTAGTTTAGACATGGGCAACCCTGTGTAGACTGCTATGTCTGGTCCTGAGTGTCTTCACTGCTTCATGTGGAAACATGGTGTCTACTCAGTTCCTAAGTCATTTTGAACCTGTCTGCATGCCTAGGACTACTCTGACATGTTAAGTACAGAGAAGAGCTAATCCAGAACCAGGAAGCATGCTTCACTCCCTATGCTTCCTCATAATAAGATAAACTGGACAGCTGAGACTGGTGGATGGTCAAATTCAGTGAGCATCCAAATTTTCTAGCAATGTTTGTGGCAAATGCAGTGCCCTCCCCAGGGTGTCTCTGGTTCTGTAGAATTGGGGCAGCAACCAGAAATCCATGTTTCTCATGATCATCTTCCCCTATCTCTCACCAGGGACTCTGATGGGTAAAGGCTGGGACTGGTTCCCTGGTTTCTCTGAGACCCACCTCCATGGCCCCTCCAAGCTCTAAATGACAGTGCAGAAGACATGCAGATTACTTGGTGAAAATCATAATCTGTTGCATGACTTCCAAAACTAAGTTTCAGTTCTTAGTCAATTTCTAGACATCAGCTTTGGAAAAGCACCCCAAGCTCAGTCTAGAAGTGTTTATTCCCCACACTACAGACAGAACTGAGCATCTGCACAGGCTCTGCAAGAGCTCTACCACCAGCTACACCCAGAGCATCCTCATTCCTACTGGGGAGCCTCCTATTCAACTGAGGAAGAATTAAAGCCTTTTAGACCCAATCCAATGCCCTTGCCTTTGAAGGAGAAGGAGCACAGTGAGGCCAGCAGAAGACAGGAGGCTCCTGACTTGATACAGGCTCACATTCTTCCAAACAACACATATCATCTGTCTCAAGAAGGAAGCCCCACTCTGTTGATTGACAGCGAGATTTCCTTTACTATCATACTGCAGGTCACGGACTGAAAGTGTCTGAAGCAATTTTCCATGAAGAGGCACAATCTGGGATTTTAATTTATCATTGTGAGATTTTCAACAGGGGAAAGTGTGCTTTCTTAAAAATGACTGTTAAGAAACTTTTTTTCAAGAGTGCCAAAAGTGGCCTCTGAAAAGCAACATTATGGGGGAAAATAGAGTTGCAAAGTAGACAGACAATAATTAATTGAAATAACTAATTAGGGCTTATTTACATATATTTTTATGTACTTTCAAACAGATTTTTCAACAACATTTCTAAATTCAAGGGCATTTGTGGAAGGGGACACTCTACATGTTAGATCAAAGCAAATGCATTCTCCTAGGTTCTTTGTGAAACTTTTCAGAGTGTTCAATTCATAAGAACAAAAAACTATCTCACAAGAGAACTCACTGGCCTTTTTTTTTATTGCTTCCCACCCCACTTCACATCTTTAATGAACACATGCTCTGAAGAGCTTAGCTTCCCCTCTGATACACTTTTGGAAACAAATGTCACCATTTAACCAGAACCCTGTTTGTGGCATACAGTTGGTTTCCCAAGCAGCCTTTCACTAGGAATCCAAAAGACTCGAAGGCTTGGGACAGACATTCGGGCGTAATTCTCCACAAAGCATGAGCTTTCTTCTCACCAACGTACCTAGTTAGTTTGGCCGGCTGCAGTGTGGTGGTATTGAGGCTGCGGTCTTGAGCAGGGGCCAACAGCCTTCTTCTTGCTTAATAGCTGTCAACTTCTGCTGCCTACCCCAAACCAGGGAACCCAGGGCCCAAGGGGGAAGGGCAAGAGCTGAGGCTGGATCCATCCCTAGGTGAGTCTACCTCACTGTTGATGTGCTAGCTACTCCAAGCTGCTTTTCATCCTATCACATGAGCTTTCAGAAACTTCCATGAGGTCAACCAGTATTTTGCTTTGTATTTGGCAGGGAGAGATGCTCTAAAGAATAAAAGATAAATAAAAAAATACAAACAAACAAATAAATAAATAAATACCATGGAAGAAAAGAAGGAAGTGCTTTTATAAAAAGGGAAAGAGAAAAAGCTGGATGGTGGTGGTATGCATTGTGATCTCAGTACTTGGGACACAGAGGCAGGAGGATCATGATTTCAAGGCTAACCTAGGCTATCTTTTAGAGATCCTATCTTCTAAAAATAGGAGGGGAGGTATGAGACAAAGAGTTTGAGGGAACACATTTTCATTTGCTCTGTAAAAACAGAAAAAAATAAATAAAGCCTAGCTAAGACATCATGGTGTCTATACTCCCCACACTCTGGTGGCTGAATTGAGAGGATCATGACTTCAAAGCAAACGTGGGTGTATATAGGAAGACTTGGTCTTTAAAGGGGGTGAGAGGGCAAGGGGAAAGGCAGAAGGGAAATCTGATGAGTTTCACAGGTCTTTTGCCATAGGCACCAGACAAAATGAAGTGTCCACGGGAAGTGGGATCTCCCAGTCCTTCCTTTCCTCCCTCCCTCCATCCCCCTCTCCCTTCCAGCATCCTGGCAGGGAGCAGTGGGTTCCCGTAAACAAGCATTCTGTAAAATGCTGCTCTATGCTGCTCTGAGGCCTGGACTTTAAATGCAAGAATTAGGGGTGGTGAAGACCAGCGGTATGGTTCTGTGGTTGAACATTTGGTTAGAATGTATATGTGAAGGCCCTGAGTTTGAACCCCCATGCCACCCAAGTTGGGGGGGGGATGTCAAGAATTGGGAGTAAGGTCATAAACAACTTGGTTTCCCTAGCTTACTGTCTGCAGCCATCTACTAGTTAAGTTAGTGTTAACAATGGACTATTACTCAGCTGTAAGAAACAATGACATCCTAAAATTCACAGGCAAATGGATGGAACTAGAAAA